GTCCTCGCGCATGTTGAATCAAGGGAAGCTCTAAAGATGATATCCCATGTTTCTCCTGCCATTTCAACAGAGATTCAGTACAATTTCCATAGTGAAAGAACAAAATTGCATGATCCCAAATCTAATTCACTGTAAAATGCATACCAAAGCTTTGATGATTTGATTGTTCTTGCCTAATTCTCGGGTAACGACGACCTGAGGAATCGAATTGGAGCTACTAACGGAGGAAGAAGATGAAGAGAGAGACGGGGAAATTGAATTTCGAATTAGGGCAGGACAAGCGAAAACTCGTTTGCTTAGAGATAATGGAGGTTGAAGAGAGCAGTGAGAAAGGAGCAATGCCATTAGAAATAGTTCTGTGAGGTAGAGAGAGAGAGATGTTGTCGCACGGAAGCGCCGGTGAAAATGGAATCGTCGTCGCTTTTTTCCGGTGGTTTGTGAAAAACCAAAATCCTCCAAATGGATAATAATCTCATTGCCCCTGTGCTCAAATCATTCTCTACTTAGCCCCCAATATAAAAAATTTGTGTTTAATTAGTTATTTTATTTCAGAAAAATAGTAAAAGATAAATAAAACTGGACTTTTCGATTTATTTACTGATCCAACCTGATTTTGGATCTAGGTCCACATATTTTGGGTCGGATTTCGGATCTTTTAATTCCCAAATCGAGAAATACAAACCCTAACTCCCTGACGCCATTCTTTCATCTTCTTCGTTTTCTCTCCATCAGAGACTGTGAATCTCCGAATCTCTCTAACTCTAACTCTTTCGATCTCGTTTCGTCTCCTTCTTCTTCTCTCTTCTCTCTCGATACTCTTTCGTCGTCTTCTTCTTCCCTCTTCACTCGTTTCTATTGATCCAAAGATCGTCCTTTCTCTTCTTCTCCGTGAAATCCACCGTGAGAACTTCGACGTGTCTTCTCTTGGTAAGATTTCATTAGTTAGATCACTCATTTCGATTGATTTTGTTGGGTTTAATTAGGTTTTGATTTGTTCCGATTTCTTCTTCTCTGTGAGGGTTTGATATGTAGTTCTCTTTGATTTTTTTTGAAACAGATGCATTTTTGATTGAATTTCATTTGTTAGATCCCTAATTTCGATTGATTGTGTTGGGTTTAATTAGGTTTTGATTTCTTCTGAGAACTTCTCCTCTTCTCTGTGAGGGTTTTACAATTTGGATTTGAATTACAATTCGGATTTGAAATTGCCTCTGTTAATAACCATTGTGACTAGTTGTATGATTACAATTCGGATTTGATCAATTTGTTCCATGTAGATGGTTTATGAAATGAGTTAAAAACTAAAGATTATGAGATTGTTTATCCTTTGAATGTTTGATATTGAATATCATGTGTTGTTGTAGGGACTAAGGAGAATGGCTACTACTAGAGGAGGAGGATCTAGTTCTAGAAGGGAAAGATTATCTTCTCCTAGAAGATCCAAAAGACTAAAACAATCTGATCCAAACCAATCAGAGCAAAGAAGGAGGAAGAGAACGAAAAAGCGAGGGAATTGGAGCAAGAGAAGATGAGTGAATTGGAGCAAGAGAAGGCAAGGGAATTGGAGCAAGTGAAGACGAGGGAGATGGACAAGAGAAGGCGAAGGAGGTGGAGCAAAAGAAGGCGAAGGAGATTGAGCAAGAGAAGGCGAGGCATGATAAGATACAATTATTTTCTGATTTTGATGTATGTGTTTAGGCGAGGCAGCAGGTTTCTGATTTTGATGTATAAATCTAAGTGTTTAGGTACAACTGGTACGATCAGGTACAACTATGTTTCTGGGTTTATGTTTTTTGGTTAAAAAACCTATCTAATTATGTATGTATCTTTGAATCTGAATCTTAATATTTTTATGTATGAATCTATGTATTGAATATAATCTAAGAGTTTTGAACCAAAAAAAAAAAATATTAATTTTCAAAAAATCTGACAAATATGTAGGTTGTAAGGGTTTTTATTTATTAAAAAAAAACAGTTAAATATCTGAAAATATCTGAAAGAATCTAAAAATATCACAAAATATCTAAAAAAATCTGACAAATAGCTTACCTGGCGCCGTTATTTTGAAAAAAAATAATTAAAAATAGCACAAATTTGTTCTTAGTTGTACAGTTGTATCCGCATGCACATTTTTGCTCATAGTTGTACAATATAGAGAATTTAGTAAATCTAGTTGTTATCAACTCTAGTTTAATTTTTGTAGGTGGAACCGATGGTATTGTCTCATAAAAATACCATTACTATGTATCTATGTATTTATATTTATAAAAATACAAGTGTTTCAAAAATTTATAAAATTTTAGTTCAAAACTACAAAGTAACCATGAAAGTATAAGGTTGTTAGTGTATGAATGTGGGATTTTGTGTAAGAATTTCATTATTTTAGAAAAATTTGAAATTTTTTGTCAAAAACTTGTTGTGTAGTTTCATTACCATCGTGTATGCATTTTTTTAGGTTTTTCAATTTGGTTTTAATTTTTCATATTATAAAATTGGCCAAGGCAATAGACCTTAGTTGTACTTGTTGTACTTAGTTGTACCAAGACTGAACAACTTAATTTGCACAGCTACGACAAAGCAATCAACCATAGTTGTACCTGCTAAAACTTAGTTGTACAACACAAAACATATAAGTTTCATAAACAAAACCAATACAAACAATATCGTTGTTAAATTATCCTAATAAATAGCACTCATAAAACTTAGTTGTACAACACAGAACATATAAGTTTCATAAACAAAACCAATACAAACAATATCGTTTTTTAAATTATCCTAATAAATAGCACTCATAAATCAACCTTGGTCACCCGCATCGTCTCCATCAACGTCACCATCATTGGTAAACCACCTGCATCGTCTCCATCAAAGCGTATGACTGAATTCATTTTCATTGTCCCTGAAAATGAAAGAGAGAAAAATTACATATAATTTCACAACTTTCGTAGCAGCATCAACATAGTTGTACACATTTGTCCCAGTTGCATCAAACTTAGGGTTTCCGTAAATATTCTATTTAGTTGTACCTAATAGTTTCAGTTGTCCCAAATCTGCAATCCTAAAATATTTTAACAAATAACCCTATTCAAGCTACGAATTCAACTTTTCTCAACCATACTACACTAAGAAAACAAGTATACTTACCTTACAATATGGTGGGAATAGAGGAAGAAGAAGAGAAGATATATGTCTTTGGAGATGCATAATCGTAAGCTTTAATGGTAAGCTTCAATGGTGGATGAAGAAGAAGAAGAAAAAGAAAAGAGGAGATAAGAATTTGGAGATGCTTGAATCGTAAGAAGAAGAAGAATTCGCTTTTAGTTTGGAGATGCTTGAATCGTAAGAAGAAGAAGATACAAATCTTTTAATGGTGGATGGAGAAGAAGAAGAAGAAGTAGAAGAAGAAGAAGAACGTTGGAGTTGCTAAAGAAGAACGTCGGAGCTGTTGAAGAAGAAGATCGGAGCTGCTGAAGATGAAGAAGAGGAAGAAGAAAAAGAAGAAGATGAGAAGATTTATGTCGTGGAAGGTGGGTTGATTTGATTGGTTGATTTGTTAGGTTTAGATTTTAATGAGAGAAGAGAGAGAATATTTATGATTGGTTGAATAAAAAATTTGTTGGTATTAAATTAAATGTAGAATTAATAGATAAAAGGAAGGATAAAGGGTAAAATTGGTTTATGAAAAAATTGGGAAGAAGAGGGGTAGTGAGAATAAAGAGGGGTTTTTCAAAGAATGATTCTCCCCGAAGGAGCCAATGAGATTAAAATCCAATCCAAATGAAGAAGATGAATACTTTTATCTCCACGTGCGTTTTAGTGTCTTTTATAAAAAAAAAAAAAAAAAATTTACTGAGCCCAATTTTAGTTACACACTCTTTTTTAATTTCTTCAAGTGACGTTTTTGGTTAATGTTTTTTTGGTAGTCTAGTTCTACAAACAAAAAGCACAAAGCTAAAGTTTCATGGAATTTTGTTTTTGTTTTGAGGCTTCAAATTCACTCAAGTATTTGCTCTCAATTTATTATGGAGGTTGTTCACCCTATCGAGTTCTTTATGGGTCTCTACTCTTGGGACGTAAATTCTGCTTCGACAAGTTCTTGGATTGGAAAGAATTACTTAAAGTACGGGAACAAGCCTCATCATTTCCGTATCGATGTAACATCATTTAGTTTAATGTTTGACTAAAGTTTGGTTCTTGATATTTTAGGTGATATACGCCCTTAGATATTGGGATTCAGAGGAATGCCACAAATGATGACGTTGTGAACTGATCGAATTGGTGTGTTAGCAGTTTCAGAATCTCACTCAAAAAATCATGTCGCTTCTCTTTGTCACAAAGCTTTGGTTGGTAACAATTTCCTATGGAAGCACTCTTGATGGGGATTATCGAGACTCTTTCTCATCTACAAATATCATGCGTAACAAAGTATCGTGGATCTGTGTCGTCTAATTCACTCAAGCTTTTTCTCGGTTTTCTTTTGTTACTTGGCTTGCCATCAAAGATAGACTCTACCGGCATTTGAATGAAAGAATGGGGTTGGGACTAGAGTTGTGTATTTTGTGGGGAACAAGACTAAACTAGAAACCATTTTCTCGGCTCTTCTTTGAACCCGGACTAGTCGGAAACTCTCACATACATATAAACCATATGCACCTTTAAGGAGAGGAATGAGAGGAAGTAACAACATAATGGACTCTCACCTCCCAGCTAAAAAGTATCATCCAAAAGGCAATCCGAAACTAGATTATTTCACTGACATTCAAAAGCACTCACAAACTGAAAGGTCTTCCCTGTAGATGGTTTGATGTCCACCCTTCTTGAAGTCTAGGATCTGTTTCATGCAACCAATTCACACATGAAAGCTCTGCTTTATATATTTTTTTCCAATTTTATTGCTTTTGGTCCAATTCAAAGTTTTTTTTCACTCTTTTTGGTTTGGTAAATAATTCATTCTGTTGATTCATAACTGATTTATATTCAGAGAATTAGAAGCAATGATAAGTGTTCAAATCCCCAAAATTTAAGTTAAAACTGAGGAACAACAAAATCTTCACATGTTTACCAGAAAAGGAACAACAATATCTCATATCAATCCTCAGACAAAGGCCACAAGCCCACAAGTCCACAACCTTTGGCTACATTTTTCAATTAGTAATTCGGTTGCTTTTCTTTACCGCTGACTTAAACCAACAAATAACAGAAAGTTGCTCTTTCAGCCATGGAGGCTGGTGGTCATCAGCTTCAGTTCCAGCACTGTCCTGAATTAGCGAGAGCACAATGCCTGTGGTAATGCCTGTGGTAAGCCAATGCCTGAGGAGATTTGATTTCCAGTGAAGAGACAGTCGACAAAAGAAAGTTTTGAAATTATTCCAGACTTACCATAGTTAACACAGATCTGGTGCTAGGAATTGTTAATTTTTAAACCGAGATTTTTACAAGATGATCAAGCGAACTATCTGCCCCATATACTTAAACGCCTTTGCTGTTTCCTTCAAGCATTTGTTCTTCTCGTCCCGAGTCCAGTGCTTCATTTCCCAAAAGCATCACGTCAGATCAGATCAAAGGCATTAAGAGAACATTAGATTTAGCAACTGGAGGAATGAAGAGTTAAAATTTTCATTGACAATCTCACCTCCCCAAGCACGTTAAGCTTCTCACGGACGCCTTTAAGCAAGTCTTGTGCATCCCCTTCCCACCTATTGAAGTCCAGCTCCTTTCCTTCCAGAAGCTTCTCAGATACCTTAATGAATCAATTGATTGGTTACATTTGAAAACCGCGCATACAAGGGTGACTAAACAATTATGACAGTCCAAATCATGGGATATATTGATAAAAGTAAGAACCAGAACATGTTTCCATTTGTTTATGCAACAGAACCAACACAAAGAATCGTACCATTATGACAAATCTAAAAAATAAAGACGAAAGCATAGTTCAGCCATTGCTTAATACCACGTTAACCTAACTAAACAGTCGGTTAACAAGTTTGTTTGGGACAAGCTCGAACAAACTAATGGAGCAAGCTTGGTGTTGGTTCAGGATCTCATTGTTATTTATCACGGTTCTATTTGTTTTTTCTTCTGTGATTGTAAGTTGAGTCTCAATGAAGAAGAAGGGAAATCTTTTCACATTCTACCATTCTCAGTCTTATCACAACTCTCTCATACCCACCATAACCCGCAAAAATCCCGACAAACCCGACTCTCATGAATCCACTTATATCTAAAGCTAATCTATAACTCTATCAAACTAGCTGTTACCATTCAATAGGCTAGATGTGACTTTATGCAGTTGAAAAACTCTTCTACGTTACTCTATGATCACTTACCAAAGAAACTAACCTGTCTTACAATAACTTGACCACCAGCAATATGTGAAAAGTAGATACTGTAGAAATGAGAAAGAAACAAAGGTGCACTTTGCCCTGCTTGTTCTTCCAAATACTTTGCATAAGAAACTCCTATATTACTTGGTTCTGGTATAACCAAATCTTGTCCTCTAAACCATTGTAGATCCTTCTCAAGACTTTCACATCTCTCTAATCCTGTTCTCCTGAAGTAAGCATCTGCACATTTGCCAAAAACCCATTAACCCAAATTCATTACCAAAGTAGGGATCATAAAACTGTCAAATTCGAGACAAAAGTAGGGTTCTTACAAGAAACATTCTCAGATTCGTCCACAATTCGTTCAATAGTATCGAAGACAAGCTTGCTATCAACTAAGTACTTAAGAAAGCCTTCTTTGCTCGGTTTCCATGTCTCTTCCTTTACTTCATCTTCTTCTTCTTCTTGTTCAGTTTTATCACCAGAAAGATCCAGTTTTTTTCCATTAACATTGCGTAATCTCATGGCGACGAATCTCATTTCCTCAGTTATACCAATGTTTTCTCCTGGGTACTGTTTCCTGTACCTTGTTCTCTTCCTCTGTGAGGTCTTTTGCTGTGATGGTGTTGATGACGAACGACATAGATTGAGAAGATGATTATGTGGGTTTCTCTGAGTCGAAATTTCGGATGGGAAAGAGAGAGAGGTGTGAAGATGAGATAATTTATGAGGTGTAGAGAGTAATGGAGTTGGCCTGAGAAGAGAAGAAGCCATGGATTTCGACGACCAAGATAGACAGACACTCTGCCTTTACTTTGATTTCTCGCTTTTTCAGCAAAACGTTGGAAAAGGAAAAACCCTTAATTTTGTTATTAATTACATGTCATGCCATTACTAATAGTAGCTAAAATTTGTTTCGTAAATACTCGAGAATATTTGGGATATGTGTGTTTCGGGTTTGATGTTGCAGTCTCTGCGGAAGCGGTCAAGTGGGTAGATATGTGTGTTTGGTGGCTTCTGCGAAGAGGTTGGTGCCGGATTTGATTGATCGACGGTGTGCTTAGTCTATAATAAAGCCATAGTTTTCGCTATTCCCTGACCCAGATCTAATTCTCGTTTTTGTGTTCTCCATCGATTTGATGCCGCCGGCGTGGTTTGTGTGTGGTCACTCATCATCCTTCACCAAACTTTTGTCTTTCTGCTCGCTCGTTAATGCCTTGTCTCAGCCACCAGAGTCCATGTGGTTCGTCTCCTTTCTAAGCTGAGGCCTTTTTGTGTGAAGTTTGTGCTTGGTTATAAGTTTTCAGGTGTTGTCTTCTCTTTGGTGGTCGCTGTGGGATGTTAACATGATCGATTGAGTCCTTTTGTTCCCCTGAGCAAGGATCATCGAGATGGTTAGGTTTCGCTCCCTGTCTTTGCATTTCCGCATCTTTTGTGATCAGATTGCTTTTTTTAGGCTTTTATCTAGGCGCTCCATGACAGACCAACGTCTCCGCCGCATCCAGAAGTGTTTTATGAGGATCAGTTTTGACCTTTACTTGTCGGGTTATGAAGTCTTGGTTACTTGGTTTTGAGAGATCATCTCTCATCATGATGGGAAGAAGCAGATGTTATCGATTGGTTGGCCGTGGGTAGCATTGGTAAATCGCATTCTCAAGTTCTTCTAAAGAAAAGGTCTTCTTTGGTGCTTATGTCAAGTGTTTTCTTCGGATTTAAGTTTGTATGCTTCCTTAGATTTTGGTTTCGATCTCTTTCGATTTCAGCTTTAAAATTTTTTGTTTGTAATGTGTTCATGTTTCCTTTACATAGGGCTTAGTTTTCGGAGAATTCACGTTTTCTTCCGGCTTAGTTTCCCGAAGACTTTTCTTTCGTCCGTCGGCTTAGCTTCCCTTGTTTGGGATTTGTATTTCACATTGGTACCAAAACAAGCTTCAATAATAAAATTTTAGATGAAAAAGAAAAAACGATTGGTAACAATTTTTTTTTATATAGGAAATTCTGAATGTAAAAAACAATTTCGTAAAAAAATTCTGTAGAAGTTTCAATTATTATAATTTTTTTAGTTATAAATATATATTATCCAAAATATTAATTCATGTCACAATATAGTAGCAAAACAAATTTATTAATAATGAAAATTTAGAAAAATACAAAATTTATAAATATATGAATATATTCTCAATAATATGTTGATAATGAGAAAAAAATGATTATGAGGAGGAATAGATCTCAAGAGAAAAGAAAAAAATGATAATAATTAATCTATATAGCAATCTCAATAAATGTCTTTTGCGCCTCTGAACGGTTGCGTCTTTTTATCGCAACCTTTCGTTTAAATATTGGCGGTTATCTTTTTTACGGTTGTGTTTTTTTTATTTAATTTTCTCTTGAGTTTTCGTTGAATTATTTACGGTTGTGTTTGTTTAATTACAGTCATCTCTTTTCAGTTTATAGTTATATTTTTAAAAATGCATTTATTCATTTATAGTTACGTCTTTCCATTATATATTTTTCATAGCTTTTTTTTTGTTTAGTTAGTAATACTATGATTTTTTTTTTCTATAGGAAATTTTGAATGTGAAAATTTTTGTAAAAAAAATCTGTAGAAGTTGCAAATATTATTTTATTATTATGATATTTTTTATAAATAAATAAATATATATATATATATATATAGATATATATATATATATATATATATATATATATATATATATTATCCAAAATATTAATTCATGTCGCAATACAGTAACAAAATAAATTTATTAATAATGAAAATTTAGAAAAATACAAAAATTTATAAATAAATGAAAAATTCTCAATAATATGGTGATAATGAAAAAAATGATTATGAGTAGAAATAGATCTCAAAAGAAAAGAAAAAAATGATAATAATTAATTTATTAAAATGTTTATGTGATAAAATGTATGTAAATTTATAAAGAAGTTTCAATTATTTTTTGGTGATGAAAAAAGAAAGTTTTTTAAGAATAAGTTTTAAAGACGTGATTTTGAGACATCAAATAAAATAGGAAAACAAGTGGTTGTGAGAACTTTACAAAAAAAAAACCTTATTGGTAGAAAAAAAACTATTAATACTTTAAAATGTCCCCAAAGTTTTCAAAGTCACGCGCTAATTGATATGGATCCAATTGATCTCAAGTAACTCTCTCAAATAAAGAGATCGTCGTAGTACTTAAGAGTCGGATTCACAAAATTCTTTTGTTCACACAAGCCAAACAGAAAGATTGTAATTTAAAACAAGAAAAAACAATTAAATCGAGTTGTAAATAAGATGGAAAAAACGTCAGGCTTAGGGAATTTCTCAGGAAGTATCAGAATTGTAGATATATCAATATTGTTTGGATTAATTAAGAACCGTTCTAGAACTCAAATCACAAAACTATAATCAACAAACTCTCGTATGTATCTATGTCTAATAATCGGAATTTCAACTCTCGTTTGTAAATTCCTTATACTAAACGAGTATTCACGATCAGGTTTGATTTGTTCACAGAAGTATCTAAACCAAACCTATTTGAGAATAGCTACTTTTGCCCACCTAAGATAGTTCAAGAAATAAGCGCACTCTTGTGGCTAACTTATTATCCTAACATCAAATTCTAGTTACCTACTATAGAATTAGCATTAAGATCAATCAAAAGTGAAGAACTCTATAGTTTTATCCTAACAAGTAATCAATCTAACTATTCATCCAAATCCCTATTGAGAATCCCTAAGCCTAACAAGAAGACTACCTAGACATAATCATGGAAACACAAAACATGATTGAAGTAGAAATCATAAAAAAAAAAACAAGAAGAGAACATAGTTTAGAAAGATCTTCTCTCTACAGGGTTTTGAATTCTGAAAGAAAAGTTATCTCCAATTATCATCTAAAGGGTTCAAGCTTTCAGAGAACACAAAGTAAAAAAGCAAGATAAGCTTGATAGATCTAAAACAATGACCCAAAAATCTATTTATATTCTCAAAAATGTACATGGACTAATATTGCAAATAAAGAAGTCTTTTCGGCAATTCTAGAATCTTCAAAACTTGTTAATACTCGAGACTTTTCTTGGGCCGCGAACAGTGTCGACCAACACCAACTATGTTGATCGACACTAATGACTTGGTCTGACTCCAAATTCGTCTCTTCAACCTTTATTCTTTGGTTTTGCTCCAAAATGCTCTGTTATCTCCAAATTCATCATGATCACGTAAATACTTAAAAAGACTCTAAAAAGACTCTAGAAATAATATTTTAAAAAACTATGATATATGACTAATCACCCCCTAAATCAAAGGAGAAAGAGAAATGACCATGGTCTAGTGGCATACGTAAATCCACCCGAAGAACAAGCAACCACTTTATCCAGAATTGAGATCCCTTTTCTACAATACAGTTAATTAAGTTAATTAGGCTAATGAACTATTTTTTGTGGATTTAAAACAATTTACAATAGGAGTGTCGAATGAAAAAAATTCAACAGTTAAATGAGTATAATGAAGTTGTTGATTTATTTTTTTCCTATGGGGTTGTTGAATTATAGTATTTCACTAATGTAATGTTTTTGGTATTTAATTAAAATTCAACTCATTGAAAAATGAGAAGGGAAAAGAGTCGGACCCATATGGACCAATCAGAGAAAAGAATGTGCAAAAGAAATCTGCCCAATGCATGAGGTGGGGAGAGGCACTAATACTAGCCATTTGTTTTTTTATGATTCACATCTTTAACTTTCCAGATTTTTATCTCATCCTAAAATATTTGAGATCAATTATTTTATAGTATTTATTTAATATATAACTTTTCAGATTTTTATCTCATCCTAAAATGTACAGGGAGTATATATTAGGTAAGTACTCGTGTCCACGCACGTGTAGATTTTATGTTATTTAAAATTTTAATAAAATAATCAAAAAAAACTTATCATTGAATCCCGAGATTTTCAAAACACAATATTTTAGCCTATAAATATACATACTGTTGTAAAAGTTAAGGAAAGCTGCAACATCAAATACACATGTGTAAACGATCGTAAAATAATATTTTGTATGGAGCCCACCGTCACTATGCAGCATAGTAACTTATCTTTTCTACCTCTATATAAACGATCGAAATCGTTCGATGTAATTCACACCTTCACAACTCGCATTACTTCAATTATAAGAGAAGTAATAATCTCTCTCCCTCTCATCTCTTTATTATTCAGTATCCCGATCTTTCTGCGGGTATAATTTTCTCTTCATTAAATATTTATATATCCACCATAAAATCAAATACTCTTTTATAACACGTTATCAGCACGATCACTCTATGATCGCTGAAAAAAATACGGTATTATACCGGGCGGTATGTCGCCTCGTTAAAAGAAAAAATATGAGAAAAAAAAAAAAGAGAAAAGAAAATTATATAAATAAATAAAAGAAACTATATATGTATATATATGTTACTTCATGCACCATAATTAATTATTTTCTGTTAATGGTTGGCTGAGCCACCTGAAATTTTATTCACTGCTTTAAATATTTATTTCTGCTACCGGTCGGCTGAGCCGCCTTAATTTTATGTACTGCTTTAGATATTTATTTCTGTTGCCGGTCGGCTGAGCCGCCTTAATTTTATGCACTGCTTTAAATATTTATTTCTGCTACCGGTCGGCTGAGCCGCCACATATATATTTACTGTTTCTATGTGGATAATTCGTCACCATAATATCACTGTGAATTATTTGTTTATATTATGGTTTATTCACCTGTATAAATATTTTTATCTGAGTCGATAATTTTTATCTTATTGATCTCTAATTTTTCAGATTAATTTTTTTTGTTTAAATCTTTTTCCGCCAACGGTCTCAAAAAAAAATTTCAAAAATTTTTCAAAAAAATTCAACTTTTTCCAACGGCTAGGAATAGTATTTTTCAATCTATAAATTCATTCATTTTCTCATTCATTTCATCAAAACAAAATTTTTCATCTCTCTAAAAAAATCTCTCCGAAAAAAGAAGAAGAATTTTGAAGTTTTGAAGTTTTGAAGAATGTTTCGATTATTTTTAATATTTGTTTTTGGAATCATTATTATGTGTATCTATAATCTTTGCGTTGTAGATTTTACTCCGCAAGAATTTCGTTTGACCATTAGTTTACTTGTTTGTACGCTTTTTCTTTTTGTAATCGCTTGCATTATTAATGTAAACGGTTCATTTTAAATATATTTTAAAATAAATTAAATAAAGATTTCTAATAATATTCCATGTTTTTATTTTTAGAAAACAAATGGCAAACATTGAAAAGCTTAAGATCCAAGCTCTTCAAATCACTGGAGCAAATTACATAGCATGGACCACTGATGTGGAACTTCATTTAGATTCGCAGAATCTATTGGAGACGATAAAAGAGAAAAATGAATCACCTGCCAATGAAAAGGCAAAGGCGATAATTTTTCTAAGAAAGCATCTAGATGAAAATCTGATGCATGATTATGCAAATGTAAAAGACCCCGTGGAGTTGTGGAAAGCTTTAAAAAATAGGTTTGACAACCAGAAAGCAATAACTCTCCCACATGCCCTTGACGAATGGGCAAATTTGAGGTTCCTAGATTTTAACAAGGTAGCACAGTATAATTCTACCATGTTAAGAATCGTGGCTCAGTTGGAATACTGTGGTAAGAAAGTGAGCGAAGACGAAATGCTCAATAAAACCTACCTTACATTCCATAAGGAGCACTATGTTCTTGCAGAACAATACAGGAACTACAAGTACAAAATGTTTTTCGAGCTGATTGTGGCGCTTATGATAGCAGAGAAGAATAATGAACTTCTCATCAAAAACCACAATGCTCGGCCTG